ACTGGGTTCTAATCTACTGTAAATCACCAGTCCTATTTACCGGAAACTAAGTGTAAAATAAGCGCTACATCGAAACTTCATTCGCATGCCCATCAACTAGCCTAACAAAATTAAAAGAATTTTTTATCGAAAACCGGGGTTTGCTTTAGTTGACTATACTTAAATCATACAACCATTACTATTCGCATAATTATTAACAAAGGTCTCATTTAATACTTACTGATAGTGTCGAGAACTACTTGCATCGATAATAAGTAACGTTGCTGATCGCAATGGCAAATACATTATGACTTAATAGGAAAACCCAGCATAAATATCACATCCGCCCTGTGAACCTCTGGCATCCGGGGTTGTGTAGTAGATTGGTACTGTCACTACGATATTCACGATGCGGCGTTGTCGGAGATGTTGATGAGACGGCCAGACGTAGTCGAAATATGGGAGTTATGTTCGAAGGAAATTCTATGGCAACCTAACTAAAAGTCGTTAAATCCCCTAAACTGATTAAATTTTCATCTAGCCTTTCTTGGTTTAATGTTTTGCTTAATTATGAGTAAATCATGGTTTCTAGCTCTGACTATGTTCCCATTGGATGGATTACATCAGTGTCTCAGATAATAAAGCAAGGTTTTCTTCTAACAATCCGATGGTCCTTACTTACTTCGTCTTCCGATAAGGCCAATTTGTGAGTCCCTTCTATCCGCCATTTGCGATGAAAATGAAGGTACATTAATAGCTAAGAAAGATTTAAGGACGGATAGCTGCTGTATCCCACTTTTAGATAAGCAGGCCTTAAGATGCCATTCAATTTCAGTTTATGCGTACGTTTTCGGGATTTCCAGTGTACATATATGAGGCGTATCCACTGTATTTCGTTTGAGGTGATGAAGGACTGATAGCTGAATGCGCCCACAATCATATGAATGGGCCTCACATTTCTACTAGAATTAAACCCATTATTAATATAGCAAATACAACGTAACAATACGTGTAGAGAGTATACGTTGCACTACCGAAAACTGAGTTCGAGTGCCGCTAAGGGGGGCTGATGAGACTTAAGTGAGGTTGAAATTTCGGTCAAGTCTAACCTGGATGATAATACTTTTCGCGTAGCAAGATTATGGGAGATTAAATGAAAATGTGAGGACTACTCACATCATTGTGGGAAAAATTCAACTATCAATCTTTCATCACCTTAAACGATATATGGTAAATATGCCTCATATGCGTTGCATTTCCTTTTCATACCTCCATCCCTGCTGGAATGGAATAGGCTACAATTTCGATCTCACATCACCGTCTTTCAACAGCAACCACAATTGAATTCGATACTGGATCGTGGGCTTTCTAGCGGCTTATCACTCTACCACATAAACATGGATGTATCATCGTAGATACCAAGAATAATGAATCTCCCGAGATAATATTGTTGGGGAGAAATTCATTTCATATGGGAGTGCGTGAAGAAGAGATTCGGAGGTCGACCTCACCAGAAAAAGAAGGCTGTACTGCAGCCGTTTGGCTTTAATACGATGTTCCGGTTGACGAAGTCGCTAGACCCTAGAATGAGAGATTATGGCAAGTGGTTTCAAAACCTGACTTTCAACATTACAAGTGTACATCTCAGTATATCAGCCAGAGTTGTTGAAGGACTTACAAAGTCTTGTGGTAGGAAATAGAATTAGCCAAACCATTTTGTATCTATTTATGTCTATACATTTTCGTGTTTTAGTTATAAGTATATATAAGAAGAAAGATATAGCCGTAAATTCTTTTTGACTTAATATTTGTTAACTTAAGACTTTTACATGAATGAGTTCTAGCTCTGATGATGTCCATCATATGATGGACGAAGGCTCTGCCAGTTTTCACTCAAAACGAAAGTGAATGTCTTGTGGACTACAGCGAAACGTCTTCTGGCGAGATTAACCTTCAAATGTATTGAAGTTGTTTGACCTTATTTTCACAACACGGTCATATTGATAGGAAGACTTAGAGGAACGCACCTAGTCCGGAGTCCATTGTATGCATCATCATTTTCAGACTAGGACTGTGGACGTGGTACATTCCAAGACGTTTCGCCGGCATCGTCAGTGAGTCTCGCCATTCGTAGCACTATACTACAACTCGTCAAAGAGACTAACTGACGATGCTGACAAAACGTGTGGGAATGTACCACGTCCACGGTCCTACTCTGAAAATGATGATGCACACAATGGACTCCGGACAAGGTGCGTTCCACACCATCTTGGTCTTCATACCTTCAAATTTATTCTTCATGGATTTTCATACGAAATAAAAGTCCCCATAAAGAATGTATTAATCAAGACAAATCATATTTTTTATAGCGTGATGATCTTTTATGCAAGCATATGTTTGCCATGTAAGCGGTTTTCGATACTTATTTTGTCGTCAAATCTCGAAAGTTCCCCAACACTATTTTGTTGAGGGAGCACTCGAGACCCAGCTTCACTTCATAGACCAACCTTGTCAATTGGTGCTATCCACGAGGGGAAGCCTGCACATGAGCAGACATCTAAGATGGCAATGCCATTTTCATACGACACGAATGGATTAACTGTACCGCCATATTGGCTCATAGACTGGTATCCTCTTCACTCGATTTGAGCCCTCCCGTGACAGAGGGTGGACACTTTTTCACAATGGTCTGTAACGAGGGTGGACTGAAGAAAATTGGGCAAAAAGCCCACTCGTCTGATCGGTCCTCCTTAATTTCCTGTTTCCCGGCCAGTCGACCGCCAGCCCAGTCGGTACCGCTACCAACAGCATCTGATCCCGTCTCGGCTGGCAGTAGTTGTGATGTCGGCTTTGCGTCCAGCCATTTCTATCCCTTTTTTTGCTCACACTCTTTCACCTCGCTTTGTGTCGCGTTGTAAATTGCATTTTCCCACTTGAGCCTGTCACCCGAGCCGCGAACTCGAGGCGAACAGTCGCTGGTCGTCGACCCCCCGAGACACTTCCAAATCGGCTGATGCTGGCGTGCCCATTCGCCAATGGCCATATCGTCACGACCAGGCCGCACAGGCGGACGGCGTCTTGTGGTCAAGCCGGGCTGGCGAAAGAGGATGTGTTCGAGTCTAGGCTGGCGTCGGGCCGGTGTGCATTGGGGCACTTTTGTCTCAGCTCCAGTCGAACAAGGGGGCAGACAGAAATGCCTCCATTTCTCCCCGTCGTCTCCAGACCCGAGGACCAGTTGGCAGAACTGACAACGTTGGAGATGTCTGAATTCCCGGTCTGGCCTGCAAAACGGACAGTCGTGCGATGGCCAGTCGCCTGTTGCTAATTTGCCGGCACGAGAGGAGACGAGAAACAGCCCTCAAGAGGGACGGAGACGCCTTGAGCACAGCAGCAGGAAAAAGTCGGGCTAGTTTCTGTTACCTAATGGGATATTCGTGCTCTCGTGGGCTCTCAGTCGGTCAGTCAGACAATCATTTACCCCCAGTTAGTCAGTCGGTCGGTCGGTCGGTCAGTTAGTCGGACGGACGAACAGATGGACAGTCGAACTGGTTCGTGTTTCGTGTTAAAACGCTCGAGAAAGGACCGACAGACGATTTACGAGTGTCTTGGACGCCGACCTGGGCTCCTACATGAGCGTCAGCCCTCGGCATGCCGTTCTCCAGGCCCGAGCAGTCCGTGCCCATGTATCGTCCGAAGAATGAGACATTTTTTCAAGATGAAAGAACAGTCTAAAAGAAGAAGACGTCGTGGCAAGCCTCCCACCTCGTCAAGCCAATTGTCAGGCCCTAGAGCTGCAAACACCAAAGTGGTAGTAGAAGAAAAAGTAATAGTAGTAGTAGATACAAAGTATACGGTTGTCACTTTTGATAGGCTGTAGCTCTGCGCTAAGATTGGCGCCGGTTAAACGTCTAGGAATGTACCAAGTCAACGATCCGCCGGTGCAAATTGTCATCAACACTTTGACAGAGGAGGCTAAAATGAGGTCAAAGCAACCCAATAAAATACCGGTAGTCTCGAAAACCTACTTGTAAACGAAACAGAATAAAATAGGTCCCCACGATGCATGCTTTCGAACATCTGTTTACTTAGTCGACAGGCCTCAATTCGATATTCAGACGAGATATAAAATGCCATGGAATCTGTTTTGGTAAGCACCTTGAAGTGAAACCAAACAGTCAGTTTCACCGATAGGCTTTTCAACCTTACGATCGGACACCCTTGAAGTACTGGGCGACTTCAGAGGCATCTGGTCGCAGACATAAATCTGTATCTATGTGCATTTGTGTGTGTGTGGATTGCCAATGTATGCATGTATACATGTGTGTGTGTATAATGTATGTGTGCTTGCATTCCCGTATGTGTGTATGTGACAATGCGTGGTCTTATATACTCAAATAGGCATCTATCTCTCGCTCTCTCTGTGTGTATATGTATGCGTGTCCACGCCTAGATATCCTTCTGCTGGTGTGTGTTTGTGTGCCTATGTTTCCCTGTCAAGGTATTCCTCTGTTGACTTTCTGTGCGCGCATGTAAACATTTGCATGTCTCCATGTGGAGCAATTGATGTGTATGTATGCGTGCGAACGGGCCTGCTTGTGTGGTAGTGTCTGCCCCAGCAGTGGAGAAGACTCAAGGGTTGGTATGCCAGACTCATGCGGATCGGGGCGTTGTGTTGGCTACACTGTCCATGTGAAGGGGCGAGCGGCCAAGCTGATTGTTGCCGAGGTGTATTCATTTCATATCCGAAGTGTAACTGGTTTCGAAGTGTCTCCTGAGATGACTTGCTGTGGTCACTTTTGTATGCTTTCTTCTGGGATCAGTTAACCCGGATCAACCTAGTCTGGCGTGACTAACGCTTGTAATGAGTTGCAATGCCAGTTGGTCTCGAGACTGCCAGTATTTCTTCAATAAGAATTTAATCAGCCCAGGTCGCTTAGGCCGAGTTAAGGGCAGGCAGA